CCCCCTGGAATCCTGGGGGCAGCTCTGGAGGGACTGGAGCATGTCCAGGGAAGGGAATGGAGCTGGGAAAGGGCTGGAGAACCAGGAGAGGTTGAGTGAGTTGGGAAAGGGGAAAAAACTGGAAAAAAAAGTGGCTCTGTTGACAGCCGGGTAGAATTTGGGATCTCATCCCAGGGAATGGGGATAGGAGGAGAGGGAATGGCCCCAAATTGCACCAGGGGGGGTTTAGATTGGATATTGGGAAAATTCCTTCATGGAAAAGGTGATTAAACACTGGAAAGGGGAAAAAACTGGGAAAATGGGATCAGGGGGGTCCTTGTGGCTCTGTACAACTCCCTGACAGGAGGGGGAGATTTGGGATCTCATCCCAGGGAATGGGGACAGGAACAGGGAAAGGCCCCAAATTGTACCAGGGAATGTTTGGTTTGGATATTGGGGAATTCCTTCATGGAAAAGGGGATTAAACACTGGAAAGGGGAAAAACTGGGAAAAATGGGATCAAGGGGGACCTTGTGGCTCTGCACAACTCCCTGACAGGAGGGGAGGATTTGGGATCTCATCCCAGGGAACAGGGACAGGAACAGGGAACGGCCCCAAATTGCACCAGAGAATGTTGGATTTGGATATTAGGGAGTTCCTTCATGGAAAAGGTGATTAAACACTGGAATGGGGAAAAAAAGTGGGAAAAATGGGCATCAACTGGGACCTTGTGGCTCTGCACAACTCCCTGATAGGAGGGGGGATTTGGGATCTCATCCCAGGGAATGGGGACAGGAACAGGGAATGGCCCCAAACTGCACCAGGGAATGTTTGATTTGGATATTGGGATAATTCCTTCATGGAAAAGGTGATTAAAGACTGGAAAAGGGAAAAAACTGGGAAAATGGGGATCAGGGGCGACCTTGTGGCTCTGCACAGGAGGGGGCAGCCGGGGTGGATTTGGGATCTCATCCCAGGAACAGGGAATGGCCCCAAATTGCACCAGGGAATGTTTGGTTTGGATATTGGGGAATTTCTTCATGGAAAAGGTGATTAAACAATGGAAAGGGGAAAAATCTGGGAAAAATTGGGAT